GTACTCTCTCTCTAAACTAACGACTCTCTTTCGTTCTCTACCTACTACTTCTTCGTCTCTTCGTTTCGTTACTTCTAGTCCACGACCCACTTCTTCTCTCGTTTCTTCTCTCTACCACTCTCTCTCTCTCTCTCTCTCTCTCTCTCTCTCTCAAGTAAAAACTACTCAGCAAAACAATTAATTGAGTACCCACCGGCTTCAAGGGGAAAATCATGAGCTTCCTCATCATTACAATCAAAAGCAAAATTGCAACAGGTATTGGGTCGCCAACCAATTTCTGATTGAACCAAAACAAGCAACTTGTGTTCGATTGATGGGTCTTGTTTAAATGATAAATTCACATGAAGCAAAACAGTATGTCGATTGATAGCACTAGGTCCTCTCTCTCTTCCAAAGAGACCCAATAATCCCCAAAACCACAACTTTAAACCCCTAGTATCCATGATCAAAATCTGGTAGATAATGGAGGCTAGGTCCTGCAAATCCACCTCCTATAATTTCATAAAACTTTCTTCAAATATCTTCATATTGTGGTTGATTCATAAGTTGGTCTATCAGTAGAGAACCATACTGATCATCAGACCTCAAGGGCTTGGATGGATGCTGATTAATCTAAGGAAGTGCGGACACAATCAAAGCCATTGGTTCCCAATGAATTGATAAGAAGAGTTGATTGCGCAAGAGCTTGAGGGACCAGGCAACATCAGGCTCGAATAAGTTGAGAAGGGCATCCTTAGGCTCACAAATTGAGTTTAGAAGAGCATCCTCAGGCTCACAAATTGAGTTGAGAACAGAAAAAGGACTGAGAGGTTGCAGAGAGGAGGAATAGAGAACGAGTCAAGGTACTCCTGATGAGAGAAAAAGAAAAAACGATACATGAAATATCAGGTGAATGAAATTAGAAGGGGGTAGGGGGCAGGGGGCAGGGGGCTGGGGGAAAAGAGAGGGAGAGGGGGAGAGAGAGAGAAGGTTATGAGAACAGCAGAAGTTGGGGGAAGGGTGGGGAATGGGGAAGGAGAGAGAAAATGGAGCCGGTGTGGAGAGAAAGGATATGAGAAGAGCAGGAGTTGGGAGAAGAGAGGGCGAATGGGAAGAGGAGAGAGAAAATGGAGTTGGTGTAGAGAGAAGGGCAATTGGAGTTTGTGAGAAGACTGAGAATAAGGAAGTTAGAAGCTGTGAGAAGGCAATCGTGGAGAGGGTCGTAGGTTGTGAGAGAAAGAAGGTAGATGACTGTTGCTTGATTTCTTAGCTGATTAGAGAAGATAGATGGCTGTGATGGTTTCTACAATGAGGTAGGGTGTTGATGCCAATGGGCTCACTGGTTTACATACAGGAGTGAGCTAGAGAGAAAAAATAAGAGAGAAGAGGGTGCTCGGCTAGATGGAGAACGATGACGAGGGAGTGGGTTAAAGAGTGGGTTGGGTTAAGAAGAGGCGACCTAGAGAGACGAACAAATTTGCAATTAGTCTGGATCACGCATTGAACTGGCTAACTGGTGAAATGGTAGGTCTCACCTCGAGATTCGATATTTATCTAACAGGTAGGCGCTAAAATCATCCCAAGCATATATATCGATAATACAGAGGATCATTCCCCTTTGTATAAAGGTTTTATGAATTTCTATATATTTTCTATTTTCTTGGATTTTTATATTTTTCCAAAATTTCACACATTTTTATGTAAATCTCGCCCAACTCTTGACAAAATTTGACAAGTCCACACGAAACTCGCTGAGCCAACATACTCCAGGCCCCTTGCAAATCCTGGAGTGAGTCCAAGTTTACCAACATTGCTATAAATAAATCTGAGCATCGATCACTCATGAAGTGGTCCTTTCACCTCATGCTACTCCAGATGAGAATACATTTAAGCCATAAACAGAGGGTAAGCATAGAATTGCAGTCAATAACCTTGGTTTTTATATATGAACCCATGCCCTACAACTATCAGTTGGCTTTTCTAATAACAGAATGCATCCTAACTTTGTAACCTTATAGCAAATATTAACTATGCAAAGGAGAAATAAACCTTACATCACCAGAAAAACATTACATCTTAGCAAAAAAAGTATTAGCTACTGAGACAGGATGCGGGTTGTATGGAGCCTAGGCTCTAAACAATCAAATTAGAGCCTACCTTCAAATAGGGTCAAGAAATGTGGTTTCAATACTGGAAATCTTTGTGACAACCTTAAAACATATTTTTATCTCTATTTATAAAGTTTAAAGCTTCAAAAATAGTGTAGATCAACAGATCTATGAAAGCTTGAAATTTTGAAAATTGACGGTCTAAAAATGCATTACAAAATACACTATTTTCAAAACTTGAAATCCATTTTTTTGTCATGTTAATGCATCTTGATGTCGAGATGATCAATTTGATGATATTTGGACATCAAAACAACCTCTTCTAGTGAAATTTTTGAGGTAGGCTCTAATTTGATTGTTTAGGGCCTCAGCTCTATATGAACTTTTTTCCTGAAACAAACCTTTACAACCAACCCAGCATGGACGCCTCTTCTCCTCATAAGCATCAATAATGGAACTTCATAACCTTCGTGGTAAAATCCTGCAACAATCGATTCCCACCCGCGTGCCTGTCATCAAACAGCTACCTTATAAATCATCTCCACATGCTGTTCTTGGCAATGTAAATAAGCATCAATGCAATCAAATCCAGCAGATGCAATTACAGAATCAATCGATGACGTGCCTACTGTTGTTATGCTCAAGAAACAAATCACTTTCAAATAACACGCAGTCACTAGAAAAGAGTCCGAAATACTGCTTTTATGTACAGCTTATGTCGAGCAAGGGGCAGCTTATCAAAAAAGAAAAATGTAAAGTGAGGCATACTAAATTAATTTTTATTTAAATGGTTAGGAAAGTTAAAAAAATGGAAAATAAAAATAAAGAAACACAGGACTAATATTGTCTGCACTACTATAGTATTCAATTAAATCATATATTTAAGGTAAATAAGTGTAACAAGATTTAAAATATAGCAAGTCAAATTAAACAAGAAAATGCTCAATAATATCTAGAATTATTAAAGGGAAAATATAATTAAAGGGCATAAATTATTCTAAAATATCAATAGAGGGGTCAAGAGATTCCATTTATCACTGCTGGGCATGTCATTTCATAAAGCAAAAAGCTTATATAAGGTTGCAACCTTAAAATGCAGAATTAAGATGCACCTAGAAAATCCATCGGAAAAGGCTGGTTTAATGTTGAAAAAGCTTATAATTGATCATCTCGATGTCGAGATGTATGATTATGAAAAAAAAAAGGTTCCAAGTTTCAAAAATAGTGCATCTTGCAACATATTATCTTGATCGTTTGTTTTCAACATTTTCATATGTTTATAGATCTACATGATTTGAACCATTTTTGAAGTTTAAAATTTTATAATTAGAGATGGAAATAGATTTTCAGGTCATCCTAAGAATTTTTTACACCAAAATTACATGTCAAGAAAAAAATTTGCAAGTACGCCTCAATTTGATTGTTTAAAGCTTCAACCTTAACAACTAGTAGGGGTGTATATGTAATTTGCATTAAGCCACTTAAGTGGGTCAAATTACAAATTGCCCTTGATTGTTCAAATTTCTAAACCTTGAACAAGGGTAATTTGGGAATTTCAACATTTTTTTTTTGTGGAGGTACTTTAATGAAATGAAATTTAAAACGTAAACCATATAGTGAAAGATGGGATCTTTTGGCCCCTTTAATTATTATGTAAAATAATATAATCTTTTTAATGATATTTTCCCAATCCTAAGTATCAATAATTTGATCATAAATCAAATATGGAAAATTGTTTCACACGGACTGGATCGCATTTCTACATGTGTAGTCCAAAAAGAGTAAAGCATCCATCTTAAAGATGGATGCAAGTAGGTGTTCCATCTAACAACAATGGAAACTAATAGTCCAAATGTTTTCTTACTAGAACTATTATTTTTAGTTTTTAAAACTTTTTTATTTTTTTCATATTCATGATCTCTATGTTAGAGATTATGTGTCCTTAAAAATTAAGTCTTAAATTTATTAAGATGCCCGCATTTCTACAAATGCGGGCTTGGCCGCATAGAAACCAGGTCTATCAAATATAAGCAACCTAATTTATAAAATTCATTATACAAAATTGATACATACTATGTTTTCCTGGATAGTTAAAATGGCTATCATGTAACAAAAAATAAAGTCAACGATTAAAGGATCATCATACAATTAAAATGATATATATACTGGTCAATAATACATATTTTTCACTGGAAAATTAAACAATATAGTATTAAAAATGAGAGGTATTTTAACTTGAGGTAGTTTGCAATTCATTTGTTTAACCTTGTACTATACAAAGGCTAGTAGCACCAAATTGACCAATTCTTACAGGAATGTAGTCAGTAGCACTAAAGCTCACAAACTATCTGATCACCTCTCTGGTGAAAGACCTACTGCACGCCGACCTCTGATACACCATATTTTGAACTTAACAAAAATTTCCCACCTTAATCTAGGAGAGGAACAAGATAATAAATGAGGGGATAGGAACCACGAGTTGGTCTGCAAGAAGTCTAGGGCTAAGAAATGTCCATGCAACAACCATCCAAAATAAATACTTTTCCTATCATAGTTCTACTGAAAAGCGGACTTCAACAAAAACTTATATTTCATAAGAGCATATATATATAATAAAACTAAAAGCATTAAAACCATGAGAAAACATCACAAAAATGAAAGGACGAATGGACGACTTCGAACGACAAAAATAATGATACTCATACAGATAAGCGAAAACCACATGCTAGGAGCACTTTGGCAAACAAAGATACATGTTGACGGCATTTTGGAAATTTGGGAGCGCTATTGGGGCAATGGAAAGCGGAAATTTGAAAGGTTGAGAGAAATAAATATAAGTTGACCAACGGATGGAGTTCTAGTGAAAGGTGTATGCTGTTGTATGAGGTATATGAATATTAAATAGAACTAACTCATAGTTTGCACTATATTTCTTATCAGTGCAGTATCAAAAAAAAGTATACTTCTTATCAATGTTTTAAAAAACAGATTGGTAGGGTGGATCGCCCACCCCATCGATCTTGGTCCAAATCAGTGATCAGAATTGTCCAGATCGGCATTCCAATAATTTTTTTCTAAAAACAATCATAAAAATAGTAAATGAAAACAAATATAAACATAATGAATATAATATCTAATGCTGGGATTACTAATCACATATTTCAAGTGGCTTACTTGGTTGCATCGTTGCCTCCCTAATGCACCTATGCACCTTTGTAAAAGGTCAAACGCTCGAGCCCCCGCAATGCAATTCTATTTTAATGAACTCACAAAAGAATATCTTTTTAGAATTGATAAAAAGAGAAGAGGCTACTTCTAAGGATCGAACCTCCATCCTAGGACTTAACACCTATACCTTTCAAAGATTTTTTGATATAAATTTGCTATATTATATACCAGTATAAAAATAACTTTTTTAGCATTGGAAAAAGAACAGGATGCACCTGAGGTACCAGTATAAAAATAACTTTTTTTAGCATTGGAAAAAGAACAGGATGCACCTGAGGTTCGAACCTTCATTGTCAGTTAACAAGTGATATTACCCAACCGCAAAAACAACCCATGCCTTTTTGTTATAAAGCAGCCATGTTATATCCTATATTTGATAAAATTGCCGATCACAACCAGGAATTGGCACGGTCTCCAATAATTCCCAACCCGGATCGGTGATCTTTTACACACTGCTTTTTAATGGTTAGCACATCAAAACCATTATAACTTAAGAAAGAAAAAGTAGTATCCTCAAGGCAGAATTTTTCATAATGATATATCTCAATATTGTATTACACTATATTTTATTGAATCAGATAGTAGTAGCTTGAAAGAATGTAGCGCAAGTGCTAATAACTTTAGAAACAAAATGCAAGAAATAGTAGCTAAAAAAGAAGAGTATGAAAACCCACCCTCACATATTGCTGAACCTTCTCTGCCGTTGCAAGTGGGGGGCGCTTTTTCATGTGTTCCCTCATCCCAAGAAGTGAATATCTGCAAAAACACCACAAGCATATTTAGATGTATGAATATGGCTAAGTAAAACATAAAATGCACTCCGGCTAAATAGAAAATAGATGGACTCCACTAAGACATCATGCCTTATCAATTATACTTAATAAGAGTTTGTGCCATCATTTATCATCTTTAAACACTATGCTTCTGTACTACAGTTGCTGAACGAGTTTTAGTTACAAAATAAGTTCTATCACGAAAAGACAAATAGATATTTGCTAACTCAACCATATATATGATCGCATTGTAGCCAAATGACTGAAGGGAACCAACGCATCATTCATTAGATTTGAAAGATACATGCATTTTAAGCCAAGATCATCTAACTTAGTTTATTAACATTAGCGCGCCGCAGTCATGTCACCTGGTCAACGTGCTTCTTTCTCTATGCGCCCAATGTATCCTTTCAATGACTATACAGGTTTCTACAAGTAATTATATAGAGCCAAGGCTCTAGACAATCAAATTAGAGCCCACCTCAAAAATTTCACTAGAAGAGGCAGTTTTTATGCCCAAATATCCTCAAATTGATCATTTCGAAAGCAAAATGCATGGACATGAGAAAAAAATGGATTTCAAGTTTTGGAAATAGTGCATCTTGTAATGCATTTTAGGCCCTCAATTTTCAAGATTTTCAAGTTTTCATAGATCTGCTCGATCTACACTATTTTCGAAGCTTTAAATTTTATAATTAGAGATGAAAATATATTTTAAGGCTATCACAAATATTTCCATTATTGAAACCACACTTCCCGACACTATTTGAAGATGGGCTTTACTTTGATTGTTTAGAGCCTCGGCTCTATACAAACCGCACCCTTCCACAATTCCAAACCCTCAACTACAGATTATGAGATGGTAACATCAACAGAAACATATCCAACATATTTGTCTGGCATTGAGAAACACACATATAGAAATTCCAACAATGCAGTATTTATGTAATAGTATAGAATCGAGAAATCCAAGTGACTAATACCGACTAATCATTATAACAGCATCAGATTTTCATGTAAGATCTATGCATGACTTGTAAAAAAATCACATATTGAAATTGTATGAAAGTGCACAAAGAGCAAACGAAGAGTTAAAACATTTAAATGGAAAAACCTCCATACAAAGATGGATGAGCCTCGCGTTGACTAATATATGCAAATCCGACATCGTCATCCTGAAATAAATGTGAGGAATAATATCAGACACAAATAGGAATACATAATAGAAAAGATAAAAAATAATCAATGTTTGGAAACGGAGTATAGAATGCTATAACACCTCAAGAAGCTTTTTTGCCTGCAATGTAGACAAATTTGTGCTTGCCCCCATGAATTTAAGCATTTGTTCTTCAGTTATGCCCCCCTGAATACCTTAACAACGCATAATTTCAGCATAGATACATTTCATGTTGAACAGAAAAGAAAATTAGAATTGACAGATACAGGGATTTGAGACTCCTGAAATAACATTATGAGTAGAAATACGCAACGAGGAGAAACTTTTTAAATAAGTAGCTCTCTGACCTTAGGTGGCATCCACTCTACACCATGAAGAACAGAAGATTCTCCATAACAAGCTCTCACTGCAGCCATAAACAAAGTACCCCTAAAGAACCGTGTATTCCCATCGTAAGTTTCACCATAATGAGTCAAGGAGCTAACATCAGCCACTGGTGGAGGACCTGCTTGATGGTAGACACAAGGCCAAAGAATATCATGAAAAGAAAGATGTGACTAACATACTTTCTCTCATATCAGGTAACACAGGAGAATATGGAAAATGATAATAATTAAAGAACAAGGACAGAATCATACTACCTTTAACCCTCTGCGAGAACACAAATACTCAACTTGAAAAATGCCATTAGTTATGAAGGCAACTTAATCTAAGAGTTTTTGCATCTATTTAACTATTTTCAAGTGCTTTACCAGGATTTTCCTGGTTGGCTTGTTTGGTGGTTTTGTGTATGACATCACAAAGAGGCAGTAACCTTTTACAAACTCTTGGAGGTCTGGCATTTCTAGATCATCAAAGAGAAAGGAAATTTCAAACCATTTTATGGTTGATTCTATCAAGCTCTTTATTGCAACAAACTGAGTATAACCATGACGGATGAACTGGAGGCCCAGAAAAATACCACCGACAAGTCAAAAAGCTGGAAATACATAGGAAGCAGAAGGAATTCTCTAAGCAGCCAAATTGAAGCCAGGACCCCTTCACATCATGTGCCATAGGGAATAGAAATCTAGGAGAAGTTCTTTCAAAGTCATATTTCCAGTGGTTATACTTGGTTTCCATATTGTGATTGTTGGAAGAGCAGAGAAGTAACAAGGAGTATACACAAAAAAGAGCAACCTAATTATAATTCATAAGCACGTAGTTGTATTTGGAGAAACTGGAGAGATGAAGATTCCAAATCCAGATTTGGCTAAACTTAAAAAACAGTACAATATTATTCATATCGGACATAGTAGTCTTATATAACTACAAAACAATACAAGCCAGACACATCACATAGTATAAAACACTAAACATGAATTCCGCAACATTTGGACACATCTTTATTGTACTCCAAGATACCTGAATATATTCATATGATCCGCATACTGGTTTTGTCAGGATGATCCCATCACTGCAGCAATATGCCGGAGTCCATGGATATCTTACTTTTTTTTTTGTGCATGTGCATGTGTTCGTTGTGAATACTGCTAAATTACTTGTATGCATATATAGAAGATATCAATAATGCATAAAATACGTATAAGATATGCAGCTATGGTGATGATATGAAACTCAATGCTGGGAAAGAGGGGCACCACACATAGGTCCATTTTCGGACATCACAACCCCCTTTTCTTGACCCTTGTAAAAGATTCAAAGGGATTGAAGTGTAGGTCCATGGAACCAGGCCCACTAACCCCACTTGCCACTGACATCCATAATCTGTAACAGACCCAGGGGACAAAATGCTCAGTAGCATGACGACTCTGCAGCCATGATTCCCATGCCAATGATGTAGTAACCCTCTCTTTTATTTTATTTTTTTCCCCCTCCAAAAATATCATGATAGAATTCATGAAAACACCTTAATCATTTTCAATTAGAATGTCTTTCCTTTAAAGTAAAAATCGTAAAAACTGAAGATAACTGTATCCAAGATGACACCTGAATCTATAGTAAAATATTCTGCCAAAGTAGCAGAGCTTCAAAGTCTAAAGCTTGATCAAACTGAGTATCTGACATATATGAATTAATGTATGCATGTCATGAAAATGTATGCATGTAATGAAATAATTTAGATTTGCAGAGACTTCCCAAGGACATAAAAAAGATGGAGCATGAGCTTACAAGAGAAGTACGTCGAGCCAACTAAGTTCAAAGCAAACTTTGGAGACACTTAAACATTCACAGGACATGAAAGTTATATATACAAACTGGGATAATTCCTAAAAGAGGCATTACCAAGCTCATCATCAAATGCAAGACAGTATGCTTTCAGCTCACGATCAGTTTCTCCATTCATTCGCTGGCCTATTAGAAAAGCAGAGAGCAACGGTTCACTCACATTTGCTGAATTCTTATCCTCTGAGCACAATGGAAGGACATCTTTAAGGAGACCTTGAACCTCCTCATATCCAAGATGACCCCCTGCCAAAACTTCCCTCAGAGCACCAACCAATCTCATTTCAGTTGCTCCATTGCCGACAAAACTAGGCCCTATTGAAGTAGCTCCCCCCATAATTGTGCCCTCAGGATCTGCTATGAAAATTACATCTGCCGGCAGAGCATGGACTAAGAATGGCCAATACTTGTTCATTGCACGCTTTTCACCTTCAGACCATTGTGTAGCCTCTGGAAAAGCATTTGCACGTATCGTCATTGCACCAAAAAATGCTCCAAGCTGTGCTTTAGAAACTTCCTCCTCACCTTTTAGTTCTCCTCTAGCTTGAGAACACGTTATGAGAAATCAAACTCTAAAATAATCAGATCAAACTTCAAACCACGTATATGAATCTCAGAATAGTAACTACTCAAAAGCCAAAGCAGGAATGAATTAGCATCTAACAAACACAGTTCCCAACTAGCTTATATATCAGGAAGGGTATTAAAGTAACTGATGAAATAAATCTTGGAAACTTCATTATTAACTGTGTATTCTCATTCAAGTAACTAGCTTGTTCTTTAGGTATGCGGACATTTTTACTTCTTTCATATAATCAGCTATATTTTTGTGCAGTAAAGAAAGTATATGATGCTAAATTTGTCCTAACTGTACTGTGAGCAAGTGTACCATAATCATCTTCATCACATGATCCAATTAACTTGTTAACACTGAGAAGTTGCCTTTTCTTTCTTGTCTTTTAAAGAAAAACTAAAAAATATTTCAATCTACCCAATGATTAGATGGAAAGAACCTCCAAGCACTCAATGACAGGAAAAAAGCAAAAATCAAGAACAATAGCAGAAAGCCACGCCTAAGAAATCTTTGAGAATATTCATACATGCTTCCTACACAGACAGTTAACAGATTCTTCCGTAGAACAATTCAATGCAACTTTGTAAGTATAATGTCACCTAGGGTCATGTATGTTGCGCAAAATTCAGCTTCATTAGAATGATGACAAAGAACATCAAACTCTTAGAAGCTTTGAGAGAGGAAGAAAAGGAAATATATAGCTTAAATAACCTCCATTTCTGCTACGCAAAGATTGCAAAGGAAATCCTTTGCAATCTTTGCGTACAAGCAGGGTTTAACTACTTGCCTGAGTTACTTGGACTCAGCCCCTTGCCAAGCCAAGTACCCAGGTACAACTCAGGAATAATAATAAAAAAAAAATACAAATTATATAAATTTTTGGGATCAGTATAGAAAGATAATATTTGTAATTTGGACTTGTTTACAAGGATTTGTGAGTCTTTCTTGCCATATGCATATTTTTAAATTTTCCACTTTTATTTGGTTTTTTTCTGAAATGCCACAATTGTAAATCTTCTTTCTTTTTTTCCTTAATCTGTATGCTATGCATTCTTTCAACTTATTTGGATAAGTTGTTTTTGGTTTTTTCTTACCTTTCAAAATTTTATTTCATTTTATCAATTTTATTATTTTTAAATTACTTAGGGTTTTTGGGTCGAATTGACTCGCTCGCGATAGGGCTGAGTCCGGGGCCAGCAGAGTTTAAAACATTGAGTAGAACATAAATAGGGAATCCTCGTAGTAACCACTCAGCAAGGATCCTTTAGAATATCTCTTGATAAGCTAAGAATGACAGAGATTGACACATAAGAGGGAGAGGTATTTCCGGGTATTATGTTCTTCATAGATTGTACCAGGGGAGTTTATACCACCAATTAAAAATGGTTTATACTAATGTTTCACATGGACGAACGTAACCAAGCGTCAATCCACAAAATGTATGGAAAGCTTTGAAAAATTGTTATCCCCAATTACATGGTTTTCAACTATTTTTTGCTGATAATATGTACCTTTTTCACTTAACAGGAAGAGAGAGTGAGAGAGACAGAGAAACAACTGATGAACAATTTTCTACTACCAGACTGATTGAAAGCTGAAATTCAAAAAACCTTCACATTGAAAAAAAACCACCAAAGCTGCTCAATTCAAAGTTATCAAATATTGACAGTTAATTTGTTGTCACAGTTGTTTTTGAAACTGAAAGTAAACACAAGTGTGATAATTGTTTCCAATTGTACCAAAATGAAAATCTACCTGAACTCAAAATAGTTTCCAGAACCTTAAAGGCCTGGTCTTCTCCAAGTGGCCTCGTCTGTGTAGGCCCTGTACAAATCCTAGCTTGAGCGTCATGCACCGTCTGGTTGGGTTTCGGCCACCTTGAACCCCTGTATGAAGAAGAAATAGCTGGGTTTCTTCTCTCTCCATATTCAATAAGCCCTGATTCATCAAGTTCGTCTACGCCCGGATCAACCCCGACACTACGAATTAGGCTTTTCCTTTGGTTCCCACGGTGGAGAGACTTGTTTGCTGAATATGGAAGCTGAAGTCGGACTGTAACTGGAGATCTAGACCTCCCAAATCGGGAAGAGGGGGAGAAAAAGTAGTAATGAGGGTTCGAATTGGGTTTGTATGCGATGGCTGATCTCATCTCCACCGTTTCCTCTGAGGTCCGTCTCTGACAGGAGAAACGAGGAGCTTTGCGTTGAACGAAGCCAACTACCGAGTCTTTCAGGTATAAACCCCAAAACTAGAAATAATTGCGGGGAAAAGTTTGTATAGGGCCGAAGCTCTAAACAATCAAATTAGAGCCTACCTCAATAATTTATCTACGCTCAAATATTCTCATATTGATCATCTCCGTATAAAGATCCATGAACATGAGAGAAAAATGAATTTTAAGTTTTAAAAATAGTATATTTTCTAATACATTTTTTTATTATCAATTTTAAAAATTTTTAAGTTTTCATAAATTTAAATCTACACTATTTTTAAAACTTTAAACATTATAAATAATGATAAAAATGTATTTTACGGCTACTAGCCTATCACACAGATTTTTTATATTAAAATTACATTTCTTGACATTATTTCAAAAAATATTAATACAAACCCCACCCTTAACTCCGTGGATTTCTCAATAAAATGGGTGGTGGTACCAGTGGCCCCCTTATTACATAAGGTCGTTAAGTACGAGGATGTGTCGGTCCAAAAACGCGCTGTTACTTGGGGTTGAGGAAGAACTTCAACCCTTCAATTTAAATTTTGAAGTATTGAAGGGCTAAGTTTCTTGCTTGCCGCCAAGGGCCTTGATTTTTAACTACTTCTGGACTCGAAAAGAACTTGCCTTTTTTTGGATTTTGAGCTTAAAACTAGTATACAAATACAACGGGGAAATGTTTCTAGTATACGGTTTCTATGCGGCCAGCCTGTGGTAGAAATGTGGGCTTGGTAATAAATATATTTTATAAATATAATTTGATCCTAATTTTTAGAAAATATATAATCTTTAATATAGAGATTATGAATATTGAATTTTTTTAAAAAAAAACTAGATATAATAATTATATTAAAAAAAAACATTTGGATCATTAATTACATTTGTTTTCTACATTTTCATAAATAATAATTATATTAAATAACAATTTTTCATGTTTCTATGTGACCCCAACAACATATAAGTTATATGTGATCCCACTTCTTATATTCGATCTGAATCGAACGGCTACAATTGTTCATACCGTAATGTCACACCAAACACTATTTTATTTTTCAATTTTTTTCTACAAAACATTTTTGGATGAAATTTTGGGCTTCCCATCATAAAATTAGGGTGAACATGGAAAAATATAAAACAAATATTTTATATAAAATAAATGATCAAAATGCCCTACAATATTTAGGGGTATTTTGGTAAATTTTTATCATCATAAATTTTTTTTTTCATGTATGTCCCTAACAAATATATGAATGCCCCAAATTTTGCTTCAAAAATATTTGTATAATTAAATTAAAAATAAAAACTATGAGTTGTCTATTCAAGATCTGACAGTTAAGAGCTAGCTTGTGACATTATGACTCAAATCATCTTAGCCATTTACTCAAATCTAACGGTTGAGACCAGGGGTCACATAAAACATATATGTGGGTTCATATAGAAAGCCCTCCCCAATACAACTAGGGTTCGCAGTGGACTTGCACTGCCTTGGCCTTAGCTTGCCCCTAGTCTTTATAGGATTGACCCTAGCCCAGTCAAGCCTGGCCCCTGACCCAACCAAAGAGGTTGTTACCTAGGGCGGAACTGCTTGTTTGGGTTGAGCTGACCTAATACACTAAAAGAAAATATGGGAAAAAAAAGCCTAATAAAAAACTAGCCCAGCTGAACATAGGCCGGTCTTCAGGCCACATTTTGTGGTGTTCTCGGGGCCCTAGTTTCTAAATCCAGGCCGGCCGAGTCCGACTGGCGCGTTTGTCCCTTGCTAACCCTAACAACCCATAATTTTTTAAAAAAATAAGTGAAGGGTTAAAATATCACAAGATGGACTACTTTTAAGCTCAAATTTTATTTTATTTATTTCGTATAGTCAGCTTAGAGTTTAAGATCGAAGATCATTTATTCACTCCAATATGTGAGGCCCCCAGGCGCACTTACACCGCTCTATTAAAAGTCTTTAATGCATTTCTGCAACTGTTTGATGCAAGGTCTACAAAAGAGGATCGCGACCTGAATCGTTCATTTCTCAACTATTTTCGAATCGTAGAATCAGTAGGATCGGCCTGATTTGGCTTTTAAAAAAATTTCAAAAAAATAACTAAAATTTCTTAGAAGTCATTTTCTTACGTTTTTCGAAAAAAAAAAAAATTTTATAATTTTTCATTTTTTTTACAGAAAATATGTAAATATTGAGAACTTGTCTCTTGTCACAATCAACAATTCATCTTTCCTATATTAGTTATCAAAAAACAATTCATCTTTCCTATATTAGTTATCAGAAAATGTTTATATAAGGATGCTACCTTATAATGTACAACCACGGATGCCCCTCAAAAATCCATCGGAAAAGGTAGTTTAATGTTGAAAAATCCTTTAATTGATCATCTCGACATCGAGACGTATGACTAT